ATATCCCACTCTGGGGTTGAGGTGAATAAAAGAACTGTGTTATGACCTAAATGACATGCTGTTGCTATCTGCAGAAAGTATTAAAGCATGAAATCCCGCATTTTTAATGTACGAAAGCATCCTGTATCATAACTACATGTGTGCCGTTTGTAACAAACCAAACCTCGTGAAAATCAGTTGAAAATTCAGTGAGTTATTCTATTTTACTTGTGCATACAGCTCCTTCCTCAATAGAAGTGAATGCACTGTGGAGGCGAAGCGAGACCCTTCCAAGATGCCGGCCGGCGAGGACGCGCTCAGGCAGTCGATGCGGCGTCTATGGGGCCCGTGTTGTCTTTGCTCGTGCGTGCTGTCACGTGTCAGACAGGCACGCCGTCATCACTTCAAGGAGCCGCTCGTGGCCGCGAGGGAATTAAATCTGTATGGAGATCGATTTGTCTCAATATTATCTGTGTGAACTGATCGATAACCTGTGTTAATGTGTAATCTGTACATATAAAACACCTTCTACAAAATTAATAAATATGCAAATAAATAAAAATAAAATTTAAAAAATAAATAAAAATTGAATAAATAAAAAATAGATAAAAAAAAAAGTCAACTCAAAAACTATTTTGCAAATATAAACGGATCTGCAAATACACAAACAAATTCCAAAAATAATATTAGAAAAAAACACCCAGTGTGCTTAAAATGCAAATCCGGCAGCATAAAATTGAGATTCACAAATATCTGCTGGAAAGTTGTAAATGTTGAAAAGATTTTCATAAGTTTTTCACTGATTTTTAAATTAATTAAATGGATCCACATTTTTTTAATTGGTGGAATTTGTATTTGTAGATTTTTTTTTTTTTATAATTCCAACATGTTTTTTTAGTTTAGTTTAATTTATTTACCTTTTTTATTTATTTGTTTTAACACATGAACACAGAGACTGTCGATGTGTTCACACACTAAAAAAATGAAACGTTGGCAACTCACATTAAAAACGTCCAAATGAAGGCACATAAATAATGGATTTGTTATTTATATGATTTACATTTATATGTAAATCATAAATCTGATCTAATAAGTGCTTAGAGTTATTTCATAATGGCCAATTTTAAGGAAGTGCAATTTAAAATTCTTACTGGTGGGATGTAACTATTAATTTTTATTATTTTTAATTTCATTATTTTATTTTATTTTGTATTATTTTGTTATGTTTTTACTTTTATTTATTTTTGTATTCATTTATGTTGACATTTTTCGTCTTGCATTTTGCCCTCCTTTCTTTCATCTTGTTTTAATGGTAACCAACTTTACCCCAGTTTTGTCTCACGTCTGTGTTGGTACGACTGTTTGACTTTTGCCTTTAAAAATAAAGTTATTATTGCCCCTTGAACTTTTGTAGGTTTGATTTTGATTTGATTTTTTAAATTTGATTTGATTGTGCAGTTTTTGTGGGTTAATTGGCTTTAATATAAATCTGTCTCACCAGCTACTACTCCACTTAACCAGAGTGCAGTTTGGTTTTTATACTGTTATTTTACAATAATATACATGTCTATGGTTTTTTTTTAAAAGGGCAGATATCACAGGTCAGACTTTACTTAATTTTGACCAAATATGTAAACTAGCTAGTTACTGTGTTCTGGCTGAATAGTGACACATAACCAGGGGTAGAAAGTAACTATGTACATTTACTCCAGTACTGCACTTAAGTACAATTTTGAGGTACTTTTACTTGAGTGTTTTAATGTCCTTCTACTTTATACTTCTACTCCACTATATGTCAGAGGCAACTATTGTATATTTTACTCCACTACATTTATCAGCAGTAGTTATTTTACAGATAAAGATTTTACGAACAAAAGGTGAATTCGTAAAATCTGTTACTGCGCCACATATAAAATTATATAACAATACACAAAGTTGTTAAAATGTGCTCCACCTCTAAAAGTTGTACATTAAAAACTTAAAGCATCTCTGTACTTTAATAGTTTAAGTAGCCTATATTTTACTGTTAATACTTTTTGTATTTTTACTTGTAACAGAGTATTTTACAGAGCAGTATTTCTACTTTTACTTCTTCCACGACTGTTCATGTAACAACATCTGAAAATGAACAGTGGGCCCTTTAAAATCCTCAATAAGCAGTTTGAATTAAATGAAATGAAAATACCAAACAGTACACTAAGTTGAATCTGAGCCATGTTTTCGTGTCCACTTCAAACCACTCAGAATGTAGATGTGCTCTTTAGGGAGGTCCTCTCGGCCCCAAGTGTGACGGATGTGGTGTTGAAAGAGGAAGCACAGCTTGTGCTGCTTCTACTGTCTGAAGAATGAAGACAGCCGCAACACTGAAGGTAAAACACAGCAAATATATCAGAAAAGAAATCTTCTGTTTAGCTCCAGTCGGTGATTTTATTATTCTGAATGTGTGTGTTTGTGTTGGACTGAAAGTAGAACTCATAGTTCTGATCTTCAGTCCTGCAGGTCTGGGGAAGGAGAAAATTAAGTGTAATTAAAAAGGACACAGGGACGACTTTAAAAGAGATTAATAACTTTGACATTTGTGACCACACTACTGAGAGTTTTTGTAAAAGGTGCAACATTTTTTCTTCGTGGATCCACGGACATGAAATATTTTACTTGAGTCATGATTTCCCCAAAAATAAGAGAAGGAAAGTTGCTAAATACATTTACTCAAGCACTGTACTAAAATCTGTTTTGAAGTGCTTTAAACAAGTACTGAATTTCAGAGCATAATATTGTACTTTTTAAGTAAAAGTAAAAGTAAAAGTAAAAGTAAAAGTAAGTAAAATATATTTAAACTGCACTTTTCACAGACAAAGGTCACAAAGAGCTTCACAAGGGCATTTTACAACAAGACAGAAAACACAAGGACAAAGTGACTACGAGAGCCACGTTGGTAATAGTGCACAACTAGCAAACTCTTTGCACACAGGAAAAAAACAACAACAATACAAACAAAAAATAACGCCCGTCTAAAGTCAGCAGACGGTAAGGGATCAGGCAAAGCATTCCAATATTTAGGCGCTACGGCTGCAAAGGCTCGATCACCATGGGTCTTACGGCGAGTGAGAAGGACAGACAACAAATTTAGCGTACTAGATTGAACTGAAGAGTGCGGGTGAAGTAGTTCAGCCACCTCAGAGGGAGCCTGACTGTGTAATGCTCTGTACATAG